ACCCATGGGGAAGTGGTGTTGGCCTTCTGGATACAGAAGGGACAGTGTGGCAAGGAAGTCTTGGCACACTAGAGATGTGAAGCATTGCATTGAAGACTTGCTGATACAATGCTTTAATTTTCTGAGACCAGAAGTCATGTCGGTTTTTTCCTCCTTTTTTCATTTTCCTTTTTTGAAAGCCTAAAAATGCAGCCACTTTTTTTCTCTGAGTCAGTACACTTCTTGCTGAGTAGGCCATAGTATTTCTATATATGCTGATTTCATGTCTGAATAGGGTCTTTTTTTTATGTAAAATGCATCTTTGATGTGACTGTTTTTCTTCAGTCTGGTGGCTGTGTGTGTGCTGGGCAGACTCCTACACCACCAGCAGCTAAGCTTCCTGTTACCTGTAACAGTTTAGCTTTTGTTTTTGTTGAAATACTGAGCTTAATAATCAAACACTTCTAACTTTTTGCTTATTAAGGCACTTCTAGTTGTAGGTTTATGTAGCCTTCAGGCTTCAGAGTTCTTGTGTAGATTTAGCTTTAAAATCTCCATGCCACAGTTCTTGTTTGCAGGGGAAGGTAGAGGGAGTGAGTCAGTATTTGCTGGTTTTCTTAGTAATCATGGCACTAAGCCTCTTAAAACACTATAGATATAGTGAAGAGTTTTACTCTGCATGATAGGTTATAAAAGCAACAGTTTGTGAAATTCTTGATATTTCTTTTGGGAGCTAGATACTTCCGAAGAAAATCAAAACCAAATTTGAGTGCAAAATATGAGCTACATGTCCTGAGTTGAAACACATACCAGTGCCTAATGCTGATACCTTCATGAGGTGTAAAGTTCTTTCTGGTACACAGTTTATTTTTTTCCATTATTGATCTTCTTTTGCCTGTGAAGTTTTCTTTTTCAGTAAACATTCCTGTTGATCGGTATGAAGTCCTGGTTTTGTGCATGTGTGTTACACACGAGATCAGGTTTACATCTTTAAAAATAAGCCCCTCCAAAGCATTTTTAGTGTTAGATGAGGTCCTGTGCTAACCACTTTGTTATTTAGAGAGAAATACACTTTCCTTCTGAGAACATGTGCCTCTTGGCCCAGCACTAATGGGTGCAATTAGTGTCAGTGATAGAATTAGTGTAGGTGTTTGTTTGCAGGCACGTGCACACGTTGTTCACGAGTGGCATCACGACCAAACCTACTGCAGCAGCACTGCTGTTCTAGCATGGAAACAGCCTCTTGCTGTGTTCACTGCCAGGCATTTCGGTGTGTTATTGCCATGAATTTATGGCTTGTTATACTCAGTGCTGCTTTATACCTCCTAAGATCTTCCAGGTTTATGTCAGAGTGCTGAAAATGGGAGAGGTGTTACTACAGCGTTCCATGCTTTTGCTGATGGTGCTGATTTAGTCAGTGCAGCTGTCTGACTGTACACAGAAAGAGAACTTTGCCATGTCTGTATTTGTCAAAAACATGTGGGTAGGCTCTAACTCCTGAGTTAGAGCAGTGCATTTTGGTCTGCATGTTTCAGATTTTGCTGTTAACTCTTTGGTAACAGCATTTCTAGCCTCTGGATAGTTTTGGTACTGAGAGTTTTGTCGTTATTTTTCAGGAATATATTGTTAATTTCTTCAGGTTTCTTAAATCATGACAATAAGAATTTTATATCCATAGCATGTTCTGGAAATTGGGTGGGTTGAAAGCATGTACTTCTTTTCCTCTTGCTTTTCTTTTATTAGACATATTTTAACACTGTTTTCCATTTGTTAAATGAAATGTCTTTTGCTACTACTTGTCATTATCAGCTGTCAGAACTTGCCACCTACTGTAACACATCTTGGGAAGTGCTTGTGATGTGTTGGCCAGTGCCTCCACATGCCCAGCTGGCAATCCATGGGCAGGGAGGCTTTCCCCCCTAGAGTTAGCAGTTACAAAACACTTCTGCCACTAACATTGACAATATGAACATATTTCTGTAGAAATGCTAATTGCTGAGCAGGGAAAAACTGTTTGGACAAAATTAGGTTTCTAAGCAGTGATGAACTGAATTCCATAGTTTGTCTTCTTTAGTAAAATTTGAGCAGAGTAGAAGTTGGCAGTGATGCTTGATCTGTGGTAGGGAGCATTGTTTACAGTTTCAAAAAAGAGAAGTTCTTAGTTTGCCTGGTTTTGTTTGTTTGTTTGTTTTCTAAAGGAAAGTCACTTTTTTTGATATGACAAGAGGTGTCTGTTCACTGAAAAAGGGAGATGTGTTCTTTGTGGTATTAAATATTATAACCTAATCTTTTTTTGCCTCAACAGGTATACAAAGCTCGGCTATGCGGGTAACACTGAGCCCCAATTCATTATTCCTTCATGTAAGTATTGGTGCCTTGGGCATGAATGCTGAAGTTGTGCTTTAACATGCTCTAACAGGCTGTGTAAACAAGGCATTAACATGAGTAATAAGAAAAGATCTCTCAGTGATGACACAGTGGCAGTGTGGCTCCGTTCTGCTTTGCTAGGGATGCTCAATTTAAAAAGATACATTCATTAAAACAAGATACTACCACTTCAAGTTAATTTGTTGGGAGTTAAAATCATGTTGAAATTCAGTATTGTGGCTATGTTCACTTTTTAGAAGGTTCTTCCCCTGTTAGTGGTTTATCTGGTAAAACTTGATTATAAGTAGAGAAAAAAAACGAAAATTACATAGTTTAATGTCTTTAGGGTTCAAACTGTTACACTTGCCAGGTATGTCAGTATTGCAACTATGTGGCTTTACTCTGTTTTGCAAATAGACCAAGAAAACATTTCCATTTTTCTCCCGTGTAGAATTGCTTATTTTCTCTCTCCGTGTCTTCTGAGCTGCTTCTCCCACTTGAAGTGATACAGCTCTGCTCTAGAGTGGAACTCACTCAGCTTCCTTTAGAAATGCTTCACCTTTTGACCTCCTACACCACTTGGCAGTTTGTCATTGTTAATGTGTGCCAAAGTAATCACGTATTACATCCTGGTGAAAAGGAATAATTAGCACACCCAGTTTTCCTTGTAAATACAACAGGAAGAAGGGTGGGACTACTACTAGTTCAGCGCGGTCACTGTAAAATAGAACTTGGTCGTTGTTTTTCTAGGAAACATCCTTCAAAAAGCAATTTACATGGAAAGCTAAGGCTAATCCACTTACTTGTATGGAAACAAGAGGATGCATTAAGAGAATCCTGTCGAGGTCTTCTGTTTTGGCTTCTAACATGTATTTCTTAGCCTGTTTGGTTTTCCAGATGAACTGCATTCAGTTTATCTCAGTGGCATATAAAACACTCTACAGCTGCTTTTCAACACAAAAACTAGTTTTAACATTAGACATTAAAAAAGTTACTGAACCATTGGAAAAACCCTTACATTGCTCTTTAAACTTCATGGCAGTCATTAAAATTATAAATGGGAAAATAGTTCTTTTATTTCAGATAAGTAGAGTTTACATAATTTTTCTGCATCTTTAGCGTTATTTTATTTAATGTTAAAATCACTTTCTTGTTCCAAAAATGGGAGAAGAAATATCATGACACTTTAAACAAATTCTGGGAATGAAATGACCTGTCAGATCATTAAGTAGTGTAATTTATACAGCAGGGATGCCATTAAAGTAGAAGAGAAGGGGGAGAAATGAGAATTTCTGGTACAGTGTGGTGCATTTATAAAAAGGGTGCTCAGTCAAGATGCTGCTACAGCTGAAACAGTCCTTGACTGCAATTCTGTCCATAAACCCAGCATTTTTCTCATTTGTACTGTAATCCCAGTTAGATAATTACACTAACCACAGGAGTTTGTTAATCCTCTGCCTCAAATGGAATAAAATAGCATTGTGTAATCCACATTAGAGAAATGAAAACAGTAGAGCAGTACCTAGTTTCAAAGTAAAATGTTCAAAAATTGTGGATCTCTTCAAAGCACTTTGGTGCCTTTAATTTGCTTAATATTAGCCCCAGTGGAAAAATGGTTTGGTTTCTCCTTTGGCTTCCAACAGTGGTGATTGCATTTTATCAGTTTGATTCTCTAAAATTGGTGTTTGCTGTAAAACAGGTTGGAGCAGCATTCCTCCTGCCTTGTTCACTTGCAGCTTATCTTATTCACTCCTGCTCTTAACAGTTTTTTATCTCCTTGTGCTCTTGATTTAATTCTGAATATACTTCTGTAGAGATGATAAATGCTTGCATGAAAAGCAAAGTAAATGAGAATATATTGGGCCAGTTTTTTGAAGAGACTTGAGCTCACTGCTTTCTTCCCTGGTTGCTTTTTAGATCTTAGATCATTAATTTTGCTTGACTTTTATTCACTTAATCTGTTTTTTCCTGCTGGATGTTAAAATAGGAGTCAACTTCTTTCCATTACCCAGTAGTTTGCTTAATTTGTCATCTATTTCAGTTTGTCTGAGATAGTTGATGGCCCTTTCTTTGCCTTTAAAAGAGAAGACTGGCTCAGGTAATGTTTCAGCACAAAAATTGATTTGATGCAAATAAGTTCCCCCTTTTTTTTTTTTCTCCCCCTCTAAAAGCTCTTGATTCTTATGCCAAGCAAACCAAAGGCAACTGCTCTGAGTACCCCTGGAGTGCTGCCCATCCTCAGACACTGCAGTAATCTAGCTCTGGTTTCAGCAAGATTTATTTTCCTGTTTCTATTTTCAGGATGTGGTTCTTGATTCAAGTTGTTGCTGCTAATTTGTGCCTTTCAAACTCAGGGTTGGCCAGGTTAGCCTCAAGGTCAGCAAAGTACTGAGACTTGTTTTAAGGCTTGTGACAGGGTGAAACTAGTTGGACTCCAAAGTTACCCTAAACCTGTGGCAGGTGATGGATTTGACTTGAACATTCTTGAAGATAACACACATCTGGACAGAAAAACTTCCCCAGATATGTAAGCTCTGTAATGGTGACCTGAAAGTACTGGTCAAGATTGTTGTTTCCACTTGTAGCAAGGACTTGCCTTGTGACATCTGTCCCCACGGTTTTAGCTTCTGCTTCCCATCTACCCACTGTGCTACGTGGCTTCCTCCAGCCTTTGGCTTCCTCTCTTCTCTCCTGTAAGCAGCTACAGAAGTTGCAGTATGATTCAGTTTTCTTCCTGAAGAGCTCAAAATAATAACTTTTGGTTTACCCTGTTCAGCCTTTCACAACCCTGAACTTCTTAGTTTCTCTGCTGTGTGGGAGGAGGATGGGGAGCACCAGTGAACTCATGGTGCTTTACCCTAACAAGCTGCTGATGTCCAGATTCTGTAGCTCTCCTGCCCTGTGTCTGTTGGGCTTGGGGTTGCAGCAGCTGTTTTCACAACTTTTTCAAATTCTAGTTACGAACAAACATAACTCCTTACTGAAGGGGGCAATTAGCAAAATACTTCTGCCTTGGAAAGAACTTTTGGATCACAGCCTCTGAATAGTTGAGGCTGATGTTAGTGCTTCTTACATATATGAGTTCCCTCATTTGTGTAAAGGATTGTGTGTAAAAGCAATCAATAGGTCTTGAAAAAATACAGCAGATACTGCTGGTGCTGCAGCCCTGGTAGCCAGGAGGCTGATGCAAAAGATGAGAGGAACATCTGTGTTCCTGTGATATCTAGTCACTGATTCCTCTTTCCAGCCTTAGCCAGTATTTGTCTGATAAAATTTCTTTATTTATCATGAGTAATTGTCCTGGAAATAAATGAGCCAAGAAAAGAGCTCTTAACTTTAGCCAGTTATTCCTTGAAGTGACAGAGAGATTTATAGTGTTTCTTGAATGAAGTTTCCCATCTTATTCTTAACTATAAGATAGGAGAAGGATTTAAAGGGAGAAATTAAACACAGACTTCATGACAATTTGTTTTGAAGCATCTAAAGGTGCATCATGTCATACAAATTTCTCTCCTTTTAAAAACACTTTTTATTTCTGTCCAGTTTTCTTTTTCTGTATGCCTCACATTCTCTCCTGCTTCTTCCTTCCTACCTTCTTTTGTATGTGTTTTTTGCTCTAGTTCCTCTTCAGTCCTTTTTGTGTGCCAATTCTTGTTTTCCTAATATGTCCAGAAATCAAATTAGTGCAAGTGAAATAAAACATCCATTTATATAATGGCAGCAGGTTTTCTTTCTTGCTTTTTATGCAACTGCTGTAGCTGCATTGTTTTTAAAATTAGTGGAGTGTGCAGAAAATTAGCACATTGGAATAAAATGAGATCTGTAGGGATGCCCCATTTTAGTGATTCTTATAATAATGTAATGATTCTTATTATATAATTTTATCTTTCTGATTGTATGTTGAATGTCTAACAGCTAAATTTGTATTTTGGTCTGTATTGCATTAACTTTATAAGCCCAAATTATGTTTACCTGTGATTGGAATTCAAATTATGTGTGCTTTATTTAGCTTTTCTATGCTTATACCTGAAACAAAGGATGCATCCTATTACAGGGTGTCCCTGTTTTTCAATGTTGGTTTTCCCTTTTTAGTGCAGGATATCTGATGTATAATATTGTTTGTGTTCTCTGTTAAAGGTATTGCTATCAAAGAGTCAGCAAAAGTGGTGGATCAAGCACAAAGGAGGGTTTTGAAAGGTGTTGATGATTTAGACTTCTTTATTGGGGACGAAGCAATAGAAAAACCAACTTATGCAACCAAGGTATGAAGAGAAATGTTTGAAATCCTTTTCCAGTGCTCTTTAGCAAGCATCACCTATACATAAGGAGCTTCTTGAGAATGCTTTTTTTTTGGGGTAACTTTCATCTTACTTGCTTAACAACTCTGATTTAATGGAAAATAAGTTTTGGTATTAGCTTTGTTGACCTCCAGGAGCCTGTGGGAATTTGCAAGACAGTATGTGAACATATATTTCTTTTGAACTGAAGGGAGGCTGGAGGGTGTGAAAGGGAAATATCACATTCTTTGGTGTTCCTTGGCAGCTTCTGTCAGCAGCAGCAGAGTTGGGATACTGGGCTGGGAGGAACCTTTGGTTTATCCTAGTACCACTATTCTGCTGTACTGAGAAAAATGCAATGTGTTGTCTCTGCTGTTCAGGGTTGGGATTGGAATTTTGGATAGGTGTCACATTGGAAGAGGGGAAACGTAAAACAAGGTTTCTTGCACATGTCTATCATATGCTTTTACTGCAGTTGCAAACGATTTTTTTTTGTCTTTCTTGCACATGTCTATCATATGCTTTTGCTGCAGTTGAAAACGATTTTTTTTTGTCTTTTTTCTTTTATTTCCAATTTTAACTTGATATTTTTCTGCCCCAGTGGCCTATCCGCCATGGTATAGTTGAAGACTGGGACTTGATGGAGAGGTTTATGGAGCAAGTAATCTTTAAGTATCTAAGGGCAGAACCCGAGGATCATTATTTTCTTTTGGTAGGTAAAATTATCTTACTTAAGAAATGGTATAAGAATGTGCTGATTCAGGTAAATTGTAAAATACGAATATGAACTTTCTCGACATGGTTATCCTATCTGGATTCTTTACTTTTCTAAAGGTGCCTGAACTGCAAGCATTGTTCTGTCCTCATTTCCCTCCAAATTGCATCTGAGTCATCACTTTTTTCTTCGACTTCTCCGCTGACTTCAATGGTCTCAAGTTTACATTTTTGAGGCAAAAAAAGTATTTGTATGTTTTGACTTTTCATAATTGTAATCATTTTGGTTTTACAGTTCTGCCATCTGGAAGAAGTATCTAGAGCGTGAATTTTCATCTTTTTTTCTGTCAAACTGAAAGGATTGATTGTCATATTTGGGCAGATTAGATCTAAATTAAGGTCAATGTTATTCTGAAGCATCTGCTATTCCTTAGGATTTTATTTAGCTCATTGAAACAGACAATTTGTTTAGGTGTGGCATTTGTAGACCCAAGTTTGGAATCTGAGGTGTTGATCCTACCTGTTACAGAGCATCTAATGCAGCCATCTTCTTGAAGTAGCTATAACTAATCTGAGGTGTTGATCCTACCTGTTACAGTGCATCTAATGCAACCATCTTCTTGAAGTAGCTATAACTAGGTCCAGTTGCTCAAGGCTGTGACCAGCAAAACTGTGAATATCTCCAAGGTTCAAGATGCCATAACAACCTTTGGGCTCTCTGCTAATATTTGACCGTATCTCCAAGGTTCAAGATGCCATAACAGCCTTGGGGCTCTCTGCTAATATTTGACCACCCTCATGTTACTTTTTTTCCTCCTGATACCTGCTTAGGATTTCCTGTGTTGCAGTTTGTCTCCACGGCTCCTTGTCCCAACACCTTTGTGAAGAGTCTGGCACCTTCCTATTACATAGTTGATGCAATGGAAGAGTGTAATTTTTGTTCTCAAATATTTTGTAGCACTATCCAAGACGCTTCTTCATTCTAGAGACTTATTATTAAGTATGTTTGATATTTCAATGAAAACTACACCATGCTCTCACAGCCTATTGTATGTTGTTGCCACTTTCTCTGTCGAGTATATTTCTACAGCTGAACATGTCAATTTGCTTTATAGTGATTGTCTGCTGGAGGAAAACAACTCCCTGCACTGAGAAACCTTAAAAATTGGCATTATCTGAATGTGCTAAACTGCATCCTTTGACATATTTTGATTGATAGTCCTTGATTCTCTCAAGTGAAATCAAAAGTTGCAGTGAGCCAAGCAGCCCACAGAGGGGCCTTCAGTGTAAATTCTTAAGCAGTAACTGCTGTAGTGTTTTTATTGCACTTCTGTTTCTTTTTTTTTAATGCAATTTGCATAAATTCTTAAAAACACCCTTTGCACATGACTATTTTTACATGCTATTGTTGGTGGATGACTCATCTTTCAAAACTCAGTTTCTGTTGGTTGGTTTTTTTTAAAGTCAAGTGTTTGGTTTGAATGTAAGTATTTTTTTTTCTTGCCTCACAGACTGAGCCTCCATTAAATACTCCAGAAAATAGAGAATATACTGCTGAAATCATGTTTGAGTCTTTCAACGTTCCAGGGCTATATATTGCTGTTCAGGTAAGGGCAGGGCTGTTGAAAGTTAGAGCTGCAGCATTTCTCCTTGGGCTAAAACTAATTTTACTATGAAAACTGTGTAAGTGATGTTTGGAATACTTTTGTGTACTTGTGGTTAGCAGTTCCCCCACTGCATGTTTGACATGCACTGATTCTGTGGGCAGTTAGGTTCTGTTCCTGTGCTGCCTGTAACCAGTAGAGTATGATATCTCTTGTATCATAGATAGATAAAAACCCCACACCACATCATGATAATTGTACTCATCCAATAATTGAATCCATTTCAATGTGAAGTAACAAAGAAGATGTTTGAGGATGGCTAATAAAGCATCAGGGAGGAGCCAAAAGCTGCATTTGTGGAGCCTTTCTTTTATCAGCTCTTTTGTAGACATATATAGTATTAAATCACTTTCCATGCTGTGAATTCCCAAGGGTGTCAGTCTAGGTGGTGTTGGGAGGGGTAGTGGGATGTGCAGTGCTAAATTTGGGTTTGGTGTGGTTTTTTTTCCCAAGGCTGTCCTTGCCTTAGCTGCATCTTGGACGTCAAGACAAGTAGGAGAACGAACACTGACTGGCACAGTTATAGACAGTGGTGATGGTGTCACTCATGTTATTCCTGTGGTAAGTATACTTCAAAACTACAGAAACAATTTAACTGGAGAACACTTGGTCTCTTAACTTTTCTGAAGTGCACACCTACATAGACTGAAGCCTAGCTAGGAATCTTCAGAAATGTCCAATAATTTCCAGGGTTGTGGGTGTGAGTTTTAGCTTATTTTGTAGTGCTAAAACTCTTGAGGAACTTCTCTGCACCTCGAGTTTGTCTAGGCATATTGTCTTTCAATGATTTACCTTAAAAAGTGATTCACCAAGGCTGTGCTAAGTGATGGATGAAATTGCTTTAGCACATTTCCAGTTTGCTTCGCTGGTAAGAGTGAATGTGCCATTTACAACATTCAGTCCAAAAAGTTTGGAAAGTTTTTTTTAGTTGAAGTCAGTCAGTAGAAATAATACAAAGTACTGAGGCAGATTTAGCATTGTTTACAGTTGCTCTCCATCTGTTGTCCAGCTTTCAGTAGTGTGCTATCATGCATCAGCCATACAAGCAAGACCAAAGTTCCTGCCTAACTGAAAAAAACCAACCCCTAAGGTTATTTCATGTTGAATATCTGTGCCAGTAAATCAAGTTGCTAAAAGCAAAAGCTTGTGTGATGTTTTATTAAATAAAACACAGCTGCAGTTTCTTCACTGTCCAATTACTGTTTTTACTGCAGGTATGGATTTCCTTTTGCCCAGCTACCTATTTGAAATTTTATGATTGGAGTGTTTAATGGTGTTCTTCATTTCAGGTGGCTGGTGGTAGATCTCTGCCCATCTTTCCTTGGGAAATTAACTTTGTGTCTACATTCAAGATGCATTTGTGTTTTCAAAATGAGGATGGATTGCAGTTTTTAAGACCAAAATCTGTAAAAAGCTTTATCATGCCACAGGAACATTAATTTTTGTAAAAATTCTTTCTTATAACAGATAGTGGCTTTGATGGTGATCAAACATATATGCTGTGATGTAGCAATTTCTTATTGATATTGGTGGAACATAGTGGCTAAATCTTTGTTCAGACTGTTCATATGAGATGGCATATTTTTAATAAGACTTAGGAAACAATTGGCATTTCAGACCTTCTGTAGGTAAACTTTTACAGTTGTACTTAGTAGCTGAAATTACTGTTTAAAAGAGTTGAACTTTCCCTGATTTGTGGGTTTGGCTTTTAATTGAAGTAAGAGTAGGTATTCTGTATCCCTTGAAGCATTAAGCTCCTTTGCAGAATGCCATTTATTTGATTTCTGGGATTTTTAACCATGTTGAACAAATTGACAACAATGGTCTACCACTTCTGTTGTAAATAGATGAAGAGAAATTAGCAAACACTTTTCTCTGTAGTCAACCTACCAATAGTGGTGCTTATTTTATGACATTATTTTCTATGTTGGTAAGAAATCTTTGGCTGAATGTAAGGTGTGTGTACGTATGGGAAATTTTAAGCAATTAGTGTCAGTGTGATATGTGGATTCATCTGTTTGGGTGCAGCAGGTCTGGTGAGTTGAAGGCCAGTCTGAAGCACTTGGTTTCTGTGTTTAGACCAGGTATTTTTAATGTGTCAGTACTGGTCCCCAGGACAAGTGTGACTTTCAAGGGTAGGCTGATGGATGAGTCTGGGCCAGGCTGATGTTCTAAGCAGTCTCAGTGAATGTGCTGAAATGATGCATTTTCTCCCTGCTTTCAGAAAATTAATTTTGGTTCATGTGGATTGTAACGTCTTACATCAGTGGCTGTGACTGCAGGGCCACATCATTTATTCTAAAATAACATTTCACCAAACAAGGTCCCTTGACCTTTTTGGTAAGAGTAACCTCATTTTGAAGAGAAAATAAAGGACAAGGAATAGTGAGTATAGTGATTTGTCTGCCTTATGTCCCAGTGACCTTTCTGTTCCTCCTAACCTTGTAAGAATTACGAACCAATGCAATGCAAAGTAAAATAAGGCTACTGTGAAGAATTGGATTGGTGGTAATTGTGAGCCAGGCCTAAAGGGCTTCAGCCTCACAATCCTAGGTATGGGATAGGAGTTTAGACTCCATGTTTTTCTCTCTCTCTCTGCTGAGCTTTGCTGAAGGGAATTGTTGTGAGTTTTTCCCTGTTCATTGTGTTTACAGGCTGAGGGATATGTGATTGGCAGCTGTATCAAACACATTCCAATTGCTGGGCGAGATATAACATACTTCATTCAGCAGTTGCTGAGGGAGAGGGAAGTAGGAATTCCTCCTGAACAATCCTTGGAAACAGCTAAAGCAGTGAAGGTAATGGAAATATTGCAGATATCAAGCTCTGATATAAAATGACCTTAATATCTATTTTTAAAGTATAATAATGCCTTAAAATCATTGTCCTTCTGAGCAATGGCACTTTGTGTCTAAATAATATATGTCTAAATAATATAATAACATAGCTAAAATTTCAGGTACACAGTTGGGTTATATTCAGTTTGGCCTAGAATTTCACTCCTTACTTACAGTCTCCCCTTTCCTGTTACCATTATTATTGTTATTATCCTTGATGCTGTGATTATTGTGATATTCTGTAGGAAATGCTCTTGCTGGGACATGTAATATAAAGAGCTGTAATTCCACTTTTATTCTTTCTGAATGTCAATATGTTCTTTATGGTACTACAAAGCTTTTCTGAAAGACATTCAGCTTAAAGTACACTTAAGCTTTGTTTCTGTGGCAGTTCTTCAGCATACTTTAGAATTAATTTCTCACAATCGTACAAGTTTAGAGGAAAAGCAGAAAAAAGTAATTTAGCTCAGCAAGAGCTTGCAGTGCCACACAGAAGTGATCTGTAGTGGGAGAGCCATTATCTACCTGTGTACAGTAAATGTCAGTTCAGCTGTTTTGAGGACTATTATTTTTCTGCCAATTTAATACTTAAAAGTTAAAATTACTACACTTTTTAAAATTTCATACCGTGTTCTCTGCTATACTTTAGGTACTTCTAACCATACGTGTTCAATTTTCAGGAACGCTTTAGTTATGTTTGCCCTGACTTAGTAAAAGAATTTAACAAGTATGACACAGATGGTACAAAGTGGATTAAACAGTATACTGGAATTAATGCTATCTCAAAGAAAGAATTCACCATTGATGTTGGCTATGAGAGATTCCTGGGGCCAGAGATTTTCTTCCATCCTGAGGTAAGTCGATTTGAATCGTCTGTACTTTGTGGTTTAGGTGCATTTTAGTTGATAGCATATAAATTCTATTTGCAAACTTGTAAAGGAGTTACCCTGATATATTTCTCCTTATTTATAAAGAAATACCAGTTACTGTAAGTTAGCAATAGCTTTGGTTCTTGATTACTGCTAATCTTAATCACCCTCTACGACTCCCTGACAGGAGGTTGAAGTCAGGTGGGGGTTGGTCTCTTCTCCCAGGCAACCAGCAGCAGGACAAGAGGGCACAGACTCAAGCTCTGCCAGGGGAGGGTTAGGTTGGATATTAGGAAGAGAATTTTTACGGAGAGAGTGCTCAGGCATTGGAATGTGCTGCCCAGGGAGGTGGTGGATTCACCATCCCTGGAGGTTTTCAAGATGAGACTGGATGTGGCACTTAGTGCCATGGTCTAGTAACCACAGTAGGGTTGGACTTGATGATCTTGGAGGTCTTTTCCAACCAGGTTGATTCTGTGATTCTGTGATTTATGCAAATTCAGGTTGATAGATGAAGCACTTAAATGGCAGCAAAAATACCTAAATTAACTGTTTCCATTGTTACTTTTCATGACATCTCCAGTGTAACAGAATGATTCTTCTCTTCCCTTTTTTCCTCCTTTCCTTTGCAATGTGTAGTCCTCCTTGTTGACTTGTTTTTATTCTTGATTGTAGTTTGCTAATCCAGACTTTACACAACCAATCTCAGAAGTAGTAGATGAAGTTATTCAGAATTGTCCCATTGATGTTAGACGTCCTCTATATAAGGTCAGTAGCTACAATGGTTTGGTTTTTATACTGGTTTTAGAAGAATTGTGCTTTGCATTGAAAGACATATTTGAAACTCTAAACCCCCACATTAACAACAGCAAAATTAACCATTTTTCTAGAGATAAGTCCAGCATGCAGAAGACTTTGCTGTTCACTTGTTCACA